AAAACAGTCCCTCCCTATCTGGTACCAATCTAGTGCCCCATCTCTGGACTGCCTGTAATATACATTTTTTTTTTCCATAGAGAAGGGAACCAAACTGTTCAGTTTTCTGGAGATAGTAGGAACTGCAGATGCTGGAGAATCCGAGACAACAAGGTGCAGAGCTGGATGAACACAGCAGGCCAAGCAGCATCATAGGAGCAGGAAGGCTGACGTTTCGGGCGAGTTCTGAATTGTGCAGTGTCTAGTTTGAGCAAGGCTTCTTTATTTTTATACTCCATTACCTTTGAAAAAGTCCAACATTCCATTTGTCTTTCCTATTACTTGCTGAACTTGTATGCTAGCTTTTTTGTGAATCATGCACAAGGATGCCCAAATCCCTGTGCTGTAGTTTTCTGCTTCCTGCCAAAGTGCACGAACACCCTATTGTATTCTATCTACCAAGTTTTGCCTGCTCACTTAATCTGACTTTAAACAAGGCATGTGGATTACGGACAATTTACAATGATAAAATAGACTATAGGTGGGAAGAGCAATAGGGTAGCTGACCATCTTTTATGTATTGTACAGAGACAGGGAATATCCCTGGGAAGTAATTACGAAGTAAATTTCCATTTCCAGGTGCTGATGACTACCCTTCTTCAGTTCCATTAAAGTGGTCAAGACCTGCTAAGACTTAATTGGCCTCATGGAGATAGAAAGACAATAGAGTATTGTAACAGTGGCAGTGTCCCTGCCCCTAGACCAGAACAAAAGCCAAAGGTCTGTGTTCATATCCCACCTTGTACCAGAGTTATCATAATATATCTGAACAGGGTGTGTTGTGAACTTGTGGTGATCATGAGGCAGTGAGAGGTAACATGTGTCAAGACTAGGAGGGAGTGCAGGTATGTCAGTACGCTGTAAGAGAAAGAAATCCTATTGGGGAGGGAGGCACGCAGGAGACAGTGTGCCGGTAACAATTCTTAATGCTTCCTCCTATCATTTTGAGTAAACACTTTACCCAACACTTCTTACAATATCATTTTTGAGAGTGTCTTTTGTGAATGTGCATGTCATTGCAATTACATAGTTTTGAAAAAGCAAGTGTTCCTTTTAACTTATACCAATGAGAAAGCATGTCTAGTGTCAGAGTCAGTGTTTTTAACAGCTCCGAAAGAGGCCATTCAGTCCATTATGTCTGCACCAATCATAAGCATCAATCTATTCCAATCCCATTTTCTAGCACTCGGCCTGTAGCCTTGTATGCTAATCTGTTTCAAGCGCTCATCCAAACATGTCTTAAAATATCTGGTGTTCCTGCTTCTACCACACTTTTAGGCAGTGATTTCCAGATGCCATCACCCTCCGGATGAAGAGAAACATTTCCCCCTGCACCCACCCACCCTCAAATCCCCTGTAAATTGCTCCCTCTTAGTAGCAGCGTCAATAACCAGGGACAAGGTTTCTCTCTATCCAGGTCCCTCAAATCTCTACAACTCAATTAGGTTCCCCCACTAGCTTTCTCTGCTCGAAGGAGAACAACCCAGCCCATCTCATCTGTTGCTGAATTGCTTCAATCCAGGCAACATCCTGGTGATCTCCTCTCCATCGTCTACTGCAACCACATTCTTCTTACATTATGGTGATTAAAATTGGACGTTGTACATCAGCTGTGACCTAACAAATGTCCTATTCAGCTGTGAAAAATTAATTCTGGCATCTGCAGCATCTTAAAATTGGTTTGTTTCCTCTGGGGTGGGGTAAAGCATCGGACCTCTAACATTGTACAACCACCATTGAGGGACCCATAACTGCACTTCAGAGTACATTTTTCATTAAATGCTGCCAACTTAGCAGTGTCATTTACAAAGGGAGATCTGCTGTATGCATAATATGTCCCACTCTACCGCTGCCGTCATGACAGAAAATGTGATGCATAAAACATTTGCACCATATCTGGCAACCCCCAAAAATTGCCATGTGGCCACAAATAGATGAAGATCTAACAGGATTAGTCATCGTCTAATTTCCCATTCCCTACCCAGTGAAATTAAGTAATTTGAGCAAAATCTCTGAAAGTACTTTTAATTAGTTAAGGCACTATAGCAAGTAAGATCCAGTTTGGCAGGGATGAATTATGAATCATGGAATGTTAACATGCAAGCAAGCAAGTAATTACAGAGGCAGATGAAATACTGACCTTTACCACAAGGGTGCTGTAATATAAATTTGGAAAATATGTCTACAACTGCAGAAGGAATTGGTGAGACTGCACCTAGAGTACTATTTCAAATTTTGATGACCATACTTGAAATATATGCAAGCATTCAAAACAGTTTATGGACAGTTTACTGGGCCAACTCCTGGGGTAGAATGGTTGAGCAGGTTGAAGTTTAGAAGAATGAAACATGATCTTGAAATATAATATTCTGAGGGGAGTCAACAAGGTAGATACTGTGAGGATGTTTCATCTCCTGGAGAAATCCAGAACTGGAGATTTTCATGAAGAGGAATTTCTTATTGTGTCATAAAGGATTAGTAATCTTCCAAATACTCTTCTACAGAGAGTGAAGGAGGCTGGGCATGGAATATGTTTCAAAACTGATTTAGACAGGTTTATGATCAATAAAGGGATTGAGGAATTATTTTCAGAGGGAATTGGATTCAAGGTCACAACCTGGTCTCAGCCATTATCTTATTGGATAGCAGAGCATTAGGGTCTGATGTGTTATAGATAGTTTATGTCCGAGATATTACTTGTCACAAACCCTGGTCCCCATTCATTGGAAGCCAAGTAAAGCAAAGGTCTTGCTGATCAAGGTAAGCTTGCAGTTTACAGACAAATTCGAAATTAACAAAAACAAAAGATATGTAATCCTTAGGCGATTATATACGTCCGGTAACGGCAGTCGACATAATGTCACCATTTTACACTCTTGCCAATCTCAGCCAGGCTCAAAAGTCTTACGCTGACAAAGTGCTTCGCTGGAATAACCACAGCAGTTTGGGGAATGAAGGGCAGATTCGTTTCTTACACCACCTAGTGGCCAGGCCGTATGTCAAAGAGTACTGCGTCTGAACAGCTGCAGGAGCACCTTCACCAAAGCGCTTACTCCCCCGCACCCAGATGCTGGCTCCAGTCCGCTGCGACAACTAAATTAGCATTTATTTTTTAAAAAGCATGCGGCATGAATTTTCGTTTCTTCATGGCAGGAGTGAACATTGATAAGCACGAAGATTAGATTGGAAAGTTGGTTAATAGCAACAGTTGTGATTGTAAACGGCAGAATGTATGACAGCTTTTAAAACACCTCAAAAGCGGAGTCCGTGCCAGAGAGAGCGCCCCACTGCGATTCTCCTGATGGGAGAAATGCAGTAAATTGCTCGGACACTTCCTCTCCTGGAAATCCAACTGTATATTAGCTCTGAAATTAATTAAAGCCACGTTTTAAGTGCCCTGAACCCATTTATGCTTTTTTTGGGTAAATTGTTCATGTAAAATTGTACATGTAAAATGTATGATAGGATTTCAGAGAGATACAAATATCGAGTTCAATAATTTTCGGGCCTGAAAGCTCCCATATCCCAGCCCCCTTACCCCACACACCAGCCTTGTCATCACAGTCTGCCATTACACACGGCCTATTGTTAGTCGCCAACAGCCCCCATTAGCAGCTATTTACTCTCCTAGCCAGATCGTTATCAACTCCTTTGTCTGTTCAACTGTTCTTCTCTCTCTTTGGGCTCTATCCCCACCTATCGTTTACTCCTCACCCCCACCGGCTCTTCTGCATGTAAACCGACATTTTCCCAGCTACCACGAGTTCTGAGGAAGGGTTAACGGACCCGAAACGTTAGCTTTGATATTTTCCTTCAGATGCTGCCAGACCTTTCCCAGCAACTTCTGTTTTTGTTCCTAATTTACAGCATCCGCAGTTCTTCTCGGTTTTTAATTAGATATAAAATGTCAGACGGATTTCTCGGGTGACATTTGCCCTGTAACGCAAGCCTTTTGACGTATTCGCACGGTATATCACCCGTTAAGATCGCTACTGTGCTCACCAGCTGAATACTGCAGTTCTCCCCTAAATCCGCTGGAGATCTGTGATGCCACTCAAAATTAACTTCAAGTTGTCGACCCGACTTTTGGGGCTGAAGAACAAAAAAAAAAAAAAAATCAAGCCTCCAAACAAACCATATTATTCACAAAATGTAAACCGTTTTGAACGTATTGGGGGGGGGGGGGGAAAGAGGTGGGAATTAGAAATTAAACGGTAAACTCCAGGAGACCATACTTAAAGGACCAGCCTGAATGATCCCAAAACTGTAGAAAGCACAAATTTAAAAACAAGTCTAACGGATCAGTATAGTTCTAGTGTTTTAACATTTATTTCGCAAAAGAAAGGGACTGTAATGCCGTACGTCATTCCGTGACACAGTGCTATTGATCGATCGGATGGGGAACACACGACGCCTTTCCTGAAGATTTAAGACCATGTCAATATTAACAACTGGAACTAGAGAGAAAATAAAGAAATAAAAGTGCAGCTCCTCAGTGGACAGAAGGACTTACCTTTAATGCACCCCCAGCCAGGTAAAACGTACCGAGTTTGCTGGTGTTTGGTCGGATACATTTGGTTACGACCCTAACTAGGTGAACTATTTTATATGTTGCTCCTCTCGGCTGAATTTTGGAAGGGCTGGTGAATGCAGGGGAGTTGCAGAGGGTCGGTCCCTGTTCAGCCTGGATCTCACTGTTTCCCTCGGCTCGCTCTGACCCTGCACTTCTGCTCTGCTCTGCTCCTTTCCTTTCCTTTCCTTTCCTCCCTGTCCCTGGTCTCTCCCCAGATTTTGATCGTCTCCCGTCCCCTTCTAAAATTACTTGTTGTTCATCTTCCTGCTGTTTTATACCGGCTCCAGCCGGTCTTTTGCGCACACACCGGCGTGCGCGCACCCCCGCCCCCATACCACGTGCACATGCACCAGCATCCTCCCGACGAGCGCTCCCTCTTGTGTAAGCGATGCGGCCGCGGGCACTTCCCCGCGACCCCGCCGCCGGCCTCGGGAGCGCGCCTCCGTCCTCTCTCCCACCTGTGGAGGCCGGTGGCCGCGCATCGTGCCTCCTCCCGCACCCAAAATTTCCCGCAGCCTTTCCACCCCATCCCCCCGAGAGCGCGCACCCGGCGCGCGTGCACGAAGGCGGTCGCCGCCGGGTTCAGCAGGTTTATACCGGTCCAAAGCGAACTGAAAAACCGGATCGCGTTGTGGTTCCATCATCAGAGGGAGTTGTTGAAGAGGTAACTTCCACAGGAGGAGCATTCTTGCCATTTTCAAAATGCTTTGTCTCTTTCTTTCCCCTCTCCATCTCCCAAGGTAAATGTCCTCCAGACCAGGTTGTTTTTATATATATATATATATAAAAGTTGCAATTTTCTTTTGCAATGTCATCTGTTCACATCTGGGGTTTCTTCCCCTCCCTGTGGTTGAGGCTATCATCAAAGCTGTAATTCAACTCAATACCTTAGCTGAAGGCTGTCCAAGTCAGAAATGTTTTGGTTCAGTGAAAACCTGCCTTAATACCCTCAGCGCCGTTGACATTTTGTATCACCTCATTTTAGGCGAAAAAAGGTCGGTGTGAGAGTTGTAGAAAGATCTAACTGGCACAACATCCCATGTTTTGTGCTGCTCTGGCGATTCTTACTCATCCAGAAAGAATTAATGAGTATGAAAGCTTGGTATAAAGTCCACTTTTTTTTAACTGCTTAGGATCATTAATTAACTCAATGCTAGTGATCTTATTGAGGGACATTTCAACTATTCACCAAATTATCAAAAGAAATGAAAAAACACAGGATTCAGGGACAAAAATCAGGAAGTGCTGGAGAAAATCAGCAGGTCATGGAGCAAAAAAAGAGTTAATGTTTCGAGTCCAGTGACCCTTTGGCTGAACTGAGGATTCAGAGAGTTGGAGCACATTCCAAAGAGTGGTAATGGAACTTGGAAATGCAGTCACAGAGTTGTTCTCATACAACATGAGGCCATTCAGCCCATCGTGCCTGCAGGGTTTGGTCAAATGAGCATCATTATTTTTTGGCAGTCTCCTGCTTTCCCCCCATACCCTCGCACATTATTTCTATATAAATATTCATCAATGCCATCTTAAAAACCTCAGTTGAACCTACCTCTACCATATTTCCAGGCAGTGCATTTCATACCCAAACATTTTTTAAATAAAACACTCTTTTATAGCACCTCACTTTAAATCTATGCCCTTTCGTTCTTGTTCCTTTTATGAACAAGGTAACACGGTTAAATGTCCCAAAGTATTTTAGAGAAATGTTCTCAAACAGGCTATTACACCAAACCAATAAGATGCCACAAATGCTCAAAACCTTAAACAAAGAGATTAGCTTCAAGGAGGAAAGAGAAGGGAGAAAGCTTTGAAAGAAACCTCTGGAATTTGGAGCGCAAACACTGAAAACATGGCTGCCAATGTTGAAACATATAAAATCTGAATGCGTAAGTGGTTGGAATTACAAAAGCACAGAGATCCTGGAGGAATAGAAGAGATTACAGGGAAAAGCCAAACCATTGCCAGACATTTCCCTATTGGGCTTTGAAAATGAGTATGAAAGTTTTTAAATCTAGCCATTGTGCAGTCAGCAGCCAACATGAGCTCATGGTTGATAGATGAATGTGAGATTTGAATGGCCTGAGTATGGAGGTTAGATCATTGGTTGGGAAATAATATGTTGGGAAATCCAAATCTGGAGATAAAGAAGGCGTAGATGAGAGTTTTGGCAGCTGAGGCAGAGGCACAGTCAGGTAATGTTATAACAGTAAAAGTAGGCAGACTTAGAGATATTGCTGGTATGTGGTTGGAGAAGTCAATTTCCAGGTTAGATAGGACACGATCAAAGCAGTCAGATTCAGCTTTAGACAGCTGCAAGGGAGAGGAATGAAGTCAGTGGTTACACAGTATAATTTCTGTCTATCCTATATAACTCACAATGTTGTTTCAGAGACCATCTTTGTGAGCTGCTAAGAATGAATTTCTTTTCTCTTTCCTGTTAAGCTCTAAAGTTAATGATTAGCTTTGTGGCTGTGCTCTACACTGTACTACCTCCAAGTGTTTGAACTCCCTTGAATTTTGGTGACCAGAACTGTGTTTGTATGCTGTATTCATGGTGTGGTTTCATTAAAGCACAGTACAGATGAGCAAATCTTTACTCTGGCTTCTAATCAACTATTTTGCCAGTGTTTTTCAACAACAACTTACATTTGTGTCTTGCATTTAACACAGTCTAATATCCCAAGGCACTTGACAAGAAGGATATCAGTAAAACCACTAAGTCACAGAAACAGATTTGAGAACAGATGACGAGAAACTGCATCAAATAGAGAAATTCTAAGGAAAATCTTTGAAGAAGTAGAAATGCTTAAACAGGAAATTCTGGATGGGCAGCTGAAAGCACAGCTGTCATTGGTGGAGCAACAAAAATCAAGAATGTGCAAGAGGCTAGAATTGAAAGAACAATGCGATTGTACCAGCATATAGGTCTGCAGGTGGATAGAGAGAGGAGAAAATGCAAGACCATAGAAGGATTTGACAACGAAAGGATTTTAAAATCGATGCATTGTTGGACTAAGATCCACTAAAGGACAGCACATATAAATATGATGAATGAAACAAGATATGCCATCAATTTTGAATAAGCACAAATTTATGTCGCATTGAAGTTGAAAGGCTACCAAGAGAATAGTGGAATAGTCAAATCCAAAGACAATAAAGGTTGCATCAGAGTTTCAATAGCCTCCATGCTGCGACACGGCCAAAGTTGAGTGATGTTATGGTGTTAGAAATAGGGAGTTTTGTTGATCGTGTGGGTCTGTGTTTGGAAATCATCTGGGGTCGAATACAATACCAAGATTGCGAACAGCCTTACTTTGCTTCATAAAATTGCCAGAGTTGGATGATGAGGGAACAGAGTTTATAGCATGGACCAACAGCCATGTCTTCGGTCTTCCCAATACCTAGTTGGAGGATAGTTTTGCTCATTTACTATTTATGTCAGACATGCAGAAGGACAAATCAGAGATGGTGAGGATGGGCCCATGAGTTGGGGGTGAGATAGAGCTGAGTACCATCAGTATATGGGAAATCTGTAATATTTTTGGCTGATATTACTGAGAAGTAACACATTAGTGTGAAGTAAAGGGGAGACAAGGTTAGACCTTTGGGGAACCTCAGGTGGATCAGTGCAGGTGGGAGAGGAAACCATTTCTGCAATTTGAAAGATGAGAATGGAACCAAATCAGGACAGTCCATCAAGGTGGATGATGGAGGAGAAGCATTGGAAGAGAATGGTATGGTCAACTCAGTTGAAGATTGCAGATTAGCTGGAAGAGGGTAAGGAGTTATAGTTTATCACAATCCCAGTTGCAGGAGTATTAGTTGTGACATTAATAAGGGCCTTTTCAGGACTACAGTGGGGCTGGAAACTTGATTGGAGGGATCCAAACATGGAATTGGAGGAAAAGAGAAAGGTGGGCACACATTTCAAAACTGACAGAGTGGTCAAGGACTTTGAAGAGGAAAAAAGGTTTGAGATGGAGTGATAGTTTATAGTGACGGAGAGTGGGGATCTCTAGGAGAGGTTTTTTGGTAGCTCTTTGGCCATCAATATTTTCAACCACTTCCTTATTTCCACTTTCAATGCCCAAATGCCCAACTCTTTTGCACCTTGGCTATTTTTCTTGATGTTGCCCTCATCTCCATTCTTTTAAGTATGAGGTTACAAACTTGAATTGACATGGCGAGTAAATGACTTAGCATTCACCGTTAGATCTGGTGGGACTGCATAGCTGAGTCCTGCTCTGGTTTGTGAAAGCTAACTTTTCCAGTATCATTGCTTTTAAACGCAATCTTCCTTAAATGCCTCCACCCTTAGCCCCAAAATAAATAGGAGGTGTGGTCTAGGCCTGAAACGTCAGCCTTTCTGCTCCTATGATGCTGCTTGGCCTGCTGTGTTCATCCAGCCCTGCACCTTGTTGAGGAGGTGTTTATAGACCTCTTTGTCATAAAGATTGGCACCATTTCTAACACTTCCCTTCCTTTTTCCAGAAAACTGAGCCAGATTTTCTGTAAAAAACCTTTCTTTTTTGTCCTAAACTTGTTTCTCTCCCGTTTCTTTTGATGCTCTCACTGAGCTCACTTTGTCTGTGAGACCTGACTCTCTCTCAAACCTATCCCCACCAAACCTATTCTGTCCTCCCACACAAAATGACTCTCATCAAAATCACAAATGGTGGCCCTATGTAACCGTAACAATGCTAAACTGTCCCTCCTGTCCTTTCCAATCCATCAGCAATATTTGTTGGTTGATCGCACCATCCTTGTCTAATCCCTTGATAATGGGACTGGACCTGTTTGGTTCTGTTCTTATCTATTTATTTGCAGCCAAAGAATCATCTGCAATGGTTTTTCTTCCTACTCCTATAGAGTTATTTTGTAGCTCCCTCAAGATCCTACCCTTAATCCCGCTTATTGCTCATCTACTTGCTACTCTTAGACATCAACAATTGAAAACACGAAATTTGTTTCCACTATATGCTGATCACACTCATCTCCACCTGAACAGCATCTCACTGTACCCCTCCACTGCCTCTAAATTACATAGTCTGTACTATTTAAACAACATTCAGTAGTGAGATTCCTGTAATTATAGGGAAGACCAACATCGTCGTCTTTGGTCACCAATGCAGATTTTACTCCCATTGACCAACTCCATCCTTCTTCCTGATAACCATCTGATGCTGAACCAGACTGTTTGCAACTTTGTTTGTTCTTGATAAATGACACAAAACCAAACATGGGATATTCAGTCAAGGTACGTGACTTTGAACTGAATAAACCAAGAAACCTGCCGTTTACCTGCTGCTATAACCTTCAACCAGGAGGGCTTTTTGAAGACTGTACCTTACTCTTCAAACACCACAGCACATTACTGGTTTGTTACACTAATGTGTACTGATAACTGCCCCAGTGGATATGGAAATCAGATGAGTAAACAGAGTCAATAGGTGCAACTCATGATCAGTTAATGCAAATGTGGCACTGCTTGCTGCATTAAATTATAGTGGCATTATTTTCACATTTCCTTTAATTTACTGTTGGAATATGATGTAGTTGCCAGTATGTGGGTGTCCAAGCTCTGAATTTTTCATCAGCCATGAAAAGAAGGAACACGAAGATACATTCAGCATGCCTTTTACAACCTTTTGTTTAAGTCCTCAGACAGGTCTGTTTCAGACCACTTATCATGCTTCTCTATTGGCATAAAGCTTGCAGCATTTTGTACTGAAATAGACAT